CATTAGACTCTGACCTGTTTATAGTATTCATTAGACTCTGACCTGTTTATAGTATTCATTAGACTCTGACCTGTTTATAGTATTCATTAGACTCTGACCTGTTTATAGTATTCATTAGACTCAGACACCTGTTAGCATTAGACTCAGACACCTGTTTATAGTATTCATTAGACTCAGACCTGTTTATAGTATTTGTTGGACTCTGTTAGTGTTGACACCTGTTCATAGTTTACTGCAAACAGCTGTTTAAGTCTAACTATGAACAGGTGTCTGAGTCTGATTCCTGCAAACAGATCAGTTTGCAGTAAACATTGGACTCAGACGCCTGTTTGCAGTATTCATTAGACTCAGACACCTGCTATCATTTTAGTCAGACAAGTGTTCATAGTTGTCATTAGTCTCAGCTGTTGCCATTCACTAATCCTTCAGTATTTATTTGCTCTTATCAGTGGCTCATCCTGTTTGTCTCTCTGTACTCATCTTGTTAGTATTTTGTCTCACATCAGCCTTTTGTATCCTTCAGTCTTTTAGTACACAAATTGTGACAAAATAGCATGTATCCACAAAATCACCCGTTTGATCCCATTGATTCTCACTGACTTAAAAATATAAATAAAAATTTTTCAGAAAAATAATTACAAGAACCTAAATTGTTGTTCACGTTGAGTCGCAGGCAGTAAGAAAAGGTTTTCCTGTCATTCCTGCTCTTTTAGGACGTGTGTTCGAGTCCCAGACTTTTTGAATCAGTTGTGGAATGACTAATCTGACTCACTTGAAATCAAAGTGGTGTTTGTGTCGGTTAGACGGATGGTTTCTGCTCTGAAGAGAAATGAGTCATTTTCAGAGGCTGATAAAAAGAGAACGACGAGGACGCGAACAAACATCGATGTGGTGAAACAAATGCACAACCAAGTCACCGCAAAATTAACTCTTTGGCACCTTAAGACCCGTCTTCACCCAGACGCTGATGGGTTTTCCTTCCGTTCATCCACCTCCATTCTTTTAGAATTCCTCTCAAAAAGGGGGCATCTGTACAGATTTAAGAGGGAATGCATGAACTCTGCTCCATCTGATTTTTTTCAGATCAAACAGATGATGTGAGCCAGTTTAAATCAGAGTGAAACTTTTGTTTGAAAATAAAGAGCATCAAACCTGACCGGTTATTCTTCCAGGGGGAATAAAGTGTCATCTTGAGACACATGCAGATGAGGATGTGGGTGTTTTGCAGAACAGAGTCTTTTCTCTCACTGTGGTTGTTTACTTTCAATGCACAAAAGATCCCCTACAACTCCCCGACCATCACTCCTGATTATTGTTGTGTGTCTGATGAGTAAAACAAACTCTCCCTCTCTCCCGTGACGTAGTGAAAGTTCACTTGGTTTTAAAAAAAAGGCTTAATGTTTTAAGTTATGGGAGACTAAAAAAAAMCAAGAGAAACAGTTTATTTTGTCTGAAGTTTTTTTGTGGAAAACAAATTTTCTCGAAATATTTAAAATTTATGTGAGGGAGGAAAAAAATGCACGTGACAACTTTTGATCGGATCTATGAAATAAAYGGCTCGTTAAGATTTGATCCCAAAGAGCCATTTATCCCATCTCTAGTGGGAAATTCCCATTTCCCATGAGAGATGTACTTTATGCTCAAYGMTGGCTTTAAAGCAGCTTCTTTTAAAGACATKAATGCATCTTTGAAGCACTCACAGGTCACGTAAAATGCTGTGGTAGGCCACATTTGGACTGCAGGCCTCGAGTTTGACACTTGTTCCAGACAGATTCTTAGGGTTTTCAGAAGGTTTTTGCTGTGGCAGCACTCAAAGCAGCTCATGGCTGACTAAAAGTTAAAATCTGCAAAACCCTAGCTAAAATTTAAAAATCAGCAAAAATTTGCCTAGAAGGAAAAAAAATTGGCATAAGGCTAGCTAAATTATAAAAAAGCAAAAACGTAGCTAAAGTCTAAAATAAGCAAAAGCTGGCTAGAAGCTAAAATGCAACACAATGCTGGCTAATGCTGCGTTCACACCAAACGCGATTTCAGCATCAGGAGCGCCAGGTTTACATACAAAGTCTATGGTGGACGCGCTTCAATCAGTGTTGGGAAGTGCTGCGGCGCCTCAAGCGCGATTAGAACAGCGCGATTAGAACAGCGCGATTTGAACGATTTGAACGATCTGAGCGTTCGACGTGCTTGATGCTCAAATCGCTGAAGTTAGAAAATCTGAACTTTTGCAGCTCGACGCGCCGCGTCAACCAATCAGAGAGACTCCACTGTGTGACGTAGCGACATATTTCCCGACGGGACAGTTTACTGAATGATGTCCACCAACCTGAAACAGATGGAGAGGAGCTCTTTAGCTGAAATCSAGTGCCTGCAGTCGGTGTCCTGACCGAGATATCCGCACCAATGCGTGGCAGCGGCTCATCAGACTGGACTCGGGACAAAAATAGTCCTGAAAGCGAGCTGTGAGCCTCTCCCGCAGCTCCTGGGTGATGAAACTCAGAATGTCTCTGAATTATCTGGTGAATTAATTATGAATTAATTATCTGATGAACGTGACATGCTCTTGCTCTCTGTAAATAAAGCAAAGCCACTTCCTCGTCCGACATTAAACAGAGCCCGACAGAGGAGGGAGAGGCAGGGAGGCTGTTGCCGTGCAGCGCTTCAAGAGCTGACCTGCATCTGACCTCAAAGTGCACAAGCGACCAACTTGAAGCACTGGATGCAATTTTGAAGCTGAAATCGCGTTCGGTGTGAACGTAGAATAAATGTTAAAATCTGCAAAAAACTAGCCAAAATCTAAAAAAAGCAAAATGCTAGCTAAAACAAATGTAACACAAGGCTAGCTAAATGCTAAAATTGACAAAGCTAGCTAAAATCATTAAAAGTTTGGCTAGAATCTAAAAGTAGCACGTGGCTGGCTAAATGCTAAAATCTGCAAAAAGCTGGCTAAAATCTAGAAAACAAAAATTTGCCTAGAAAATAAAAAGTAGCATAAGGCTAGCAAAATTACTTTTAAAAAGAAAGCTAGCTAAAATCTAAGACAAGCAAAAGCTGGCTAGAAGCTAAAATGTAACACAATGTTGGCTAAATGTAAAAATCTGCAAGAAGCTAGCCAAAATCTACAATAAACAAAATGCTAGCTAAAACAAATGTAACAATGCTAGCTAAATGCTAAAATTGACATAAAGCTAGCTAAAATCATTAAAAGTTTGGCTAGAATCTAAAAATAGCACGTGGCTGGCTAAATGCTAAAATCTGCAAAAAACTGGCTAAAATCTAAAAATCAGCAAAAATCTGCCTAGAAGGTAAAAAGTAGCATAAGGCTAGCTAAATAAAAAAAGCTAGCCAAAATATAAAAAAGCTA